TAGGGATAAATCATCAGTTTTCAGAAAGGAGACAGGTAAATAACGGAGTCAGTCCTCGGACCGATCCTATTCAATTTATTCATAAATGATCTGGAGAAAGGGATAAACAGTGAGGTGGCAAAGTTTGCAGATGATACTAAACTGCTAAAGATAGTTAAGTCCAAAGCAGACTGTGAAGAACTTCAAAAAGATCTCACAAAACTAAGTGATTGGGCAACAAAATGGCAAATGAAATTTCATGTGGATAAATGTAAAGTAATGCACATTGGAAAAAATAACCCCAACTATACATACAATATGATGGGGGCTAATTTAGCTACAACAAGTCAGGGAAAAGATCTTGGAGTCATTGTGGAATGATGTTAGGAATCATTAAAAAGGGGATAGAGAATAAGACTGAGAATATATTATTGCCCTTATATAAATCGATGGTACGCCCTCATCTCGAATACTGCGTACAGATGTGGTCTCCTCATCTCAAAAAAGATATACTGGCACTAGAAAAGATTCAAAAAAGGGCAACTAAAATGATTAGGGGTTTGGAACGGGTCCCATATGAGGAGAGATTAAAGAGGCTAGGACTCTTCAGCTTGGAAAAGAGGAGACTAAGGGGGGATATGATAGAGGTATATAAAATCATGAGTAATGTGGAGAAAGTGGAGAGGGAAAAGTTATTTACTTATTCCCATAATACAAGAACTAGGGGTCATCAAATGAAATTAATAGGCAGCAGGTTTGAAACAAATAAAAGGAAGTTCTTCACGCAGCGCACAGTCAACTTGCGGAACTCCTTACCTGAGGAGGTTGTGAAGGCTAGGACTATAACAGAGTTTAAAAGAGAACTGGATTAATTCATGGTGGTTAAGTCCATTAATGACTATGAGCCAGGACGGGTAAGGAATGGTGTTCCTAGCCTGTCTGTCTGTCAGAGGGTGGAGATGGCTGGCAGGAGAGAGATCACTTGATCATTGCCTGTTAGGTTCACTCCCTCTGGGGCACCTGGCATTGGCCACTGTCGGTAGACAGGATACTGGGCTAGATGGACCTTTGGTCTGACCCGGTACGGCCTTTCTTATGTTCTTATGACTATGTGCTGTTCACCAGTTCCCTGTCTGGAGCTCTTCACAAGGGAGACAGTGCTGGAACTTGAGCTGTGTGGAAACTTGTTTGTGTGTGATTGTCTTCTATAATGAACACCTCCTGTTTAAGGTGAACTCCGATTCCATATATTGTGAAAAGGACCAAGAGATGGGTTATTGTTTTGACAAGATAAAGGGTGCAGAAGGCTTAGAATGGAAACCATCTATCAACCTTAATTGGGAAAAGTAACTTGACCA